CCGTCTTCGACTATGTGTCTAACCACGAAGACGACTTGGGCTTCAAGGTCGGCCAGATCATCTCCGTCACCGAAGAGGAGGGCGACGACTGGTACGTGGGCGAATACACCGACGACAGCGGCACCAAGCACGACGGCCTCTTCCCCAGGAACTTCGTCGAGCGCTACGAGCCAGAGCCGCCACCACGACCCAACCGAGCCTCGCGGCACAAGCCTTTAGAGCAGCCGCCTGCGCAGGAAGCCCCTCCCACGCCCCAAATACCGCAGCAGGAGCCAGAGCCAGTGCTGCCTCAAGAACCAGAGCCGCCAAAGCCCCAGGCCCCTCCCATTGAGGTGCCCAGCGCTGCCAAAACAACACCGCTGCCCATGTCACCCATGTCGCCTCGCTCTGCGTCGAGCGCAAAGGCTCCGGAAGCCCTGCCGCCGCAGTCGGAGTCGTCCAAGCCCGCTCCTCCAGCGAAGAAGGCTCCTCCACCTGTCGCACCCAAGAACAATGCCTTCCGGGACCGCATTGCTGCTTTCAACAAGCCCACTGATCCTCCGCCCAAACCCTTCAAGCCCTCTGGCGGCGCTCCTAGTTTCATCAAGAAGCCCTTTGTGGCTCCCCCGCCGAGCCGCAATGCCTACGTTCCTCCCACTCGAGAGGCTCCACCCGTCAAGACCTACCGTCGCGAAGAGGATCCTGAAATTGCGGAGCGTCAGGCGCAGACCCAGAACGATGCGGAGCGCGCGGGATTGGCCGCGCATGACAAGGCAAATGCGAACGAGGGCGAAGAAGAGCCACAGCCCAAGATTAGCCTGAAGGAACGCATCGCTCTGCTGCAGAAACAGCAGCAGGAGCAGGCAGAAAGGGCCGCGGCTATGCACAAGGAAAAGCCAAAGAGACCGCCTGTGGCCAAGAGGACTGAGTCCCAAGACGCACCCGCTGAAGACAGCGAGGACACTGGCCTCGAGCGCGTGACAAGTGGAGCTTCCAAGGGTCGTGCGTCCATGGACCAGAACCGCCCTCCGCGAACATCGCACGATATCCGCTCTCCAGACGCGCTCAACCGTGACCGCGATCTCCTCAGCGAGAACGACGCTGACCAATCAGCAGCTGGAGATACTGAAGATGCTGGAGGAGAATCCACAAGTGTCGAAGAGGACCAGGACCGACCAAAGAGCAGGCACCCGCCGCCGCCACCTCCCAGAGCACCCACTGCCCCAACGGAAGAGCCCAACGTTGGTGATGAGCAAGACGTGCCCGAAGAAGAGGAGGAGGAGGAAGAGGAAGACGAGGAGACTGCCGAGCTGAGACGGAAGGAGGAGTTACGCGAGCGCATGAGGAGATTGGGCGGTGGCATTCCCGGCATGCCCGGTATGCCTGGTATGTTCGGAGGTGGTATGCCCATGGGCGGTGGTCTTCCACCGAAGAAGAAGAAATCGACCACCGAGAAAAGGCCCGAAGAGACTGAGGAGTACAGCATGCCTCAGCAACGAGTTCCTATGTTTGGTATGCCTGGTATGATGCCCGTCCGAAGCCCAGAACCTGAAGACCGCACGCTTTCCGTCGAGAAGAAGGATGAAACTCCGCACCCCATCACTGGCAATCACTCAGCGAGCGAAGTGCCAGACGTAGAGGAGGTCGCGTCTCAGCCAGCCCGGCCAACTACTGGCGATGGTCCTCCGCCTGTTTCAACAGACAGTAAGTTTATCATTCCTCGCAAACCAATCCGCGCTTTTGTACGCCATGCCCAAGGCCGCCTGCAGTCGCCATCTTCCGAGACCTTGTCAAAGACCTATGTCACCTACGACGGTCTGTCGGAATATGTGATGACTGTATGCGTGTCTAGTATGTGTGTGCACTTGGCTCTATCAATAAATCCTACGTCTATTCCACTGTTTCTAATATTCTCTAGGACGTCCTGCTCCCCCTCCTGTACCATCGGCCTGTAAGTCACATCGGCTATCAGTAGGTGAACAATACTGACAGTAACTAGCTCGACCGGTACCGCCACCTCCTCCGCAGGTTCTCTCTCCTGGGCCCGGATCTGAGTCTGGTGATGAGATGACCGACACTGCTCCTACCCCGTCTGCCCCTTCCCAGCCATCCAATAGGCGAGCTTCGTATTTCGCTTCCGGCGAGCCATCTCAGGATTTGTCAGAGAGACGCGTGCCTCCCATTCCATCAGCGGGCCCTACGTCGCCTACAATGAGCCGTCCGCCTCCGCCACCTCCACCAACGCAGGCACCTCCATCGCGCCATGAAGATCTTCCGATTCGCAAACTGGACCGTAACGAGGGCGAGACTGACTACGAAGGTGACTATGACACCGACATGGCACCCGAGGCAACTCACAAGGACGCCTTGAAGTCACATGCTCGCGATTCCAGCGTAGAAGACAATACCTTGACGGACGAGCCAACTTCAGCACGCTCGCCCACTATTCCTCAGGGAATGCCGCCTCTGCCTCCTACTGCACCTCGTGCAGTTCCGCCTCCACCACCTCAACAGGCGCCTAGTCGGCCATCAACAGATGCTCCCCGTGGTGCACCGCCTCTCCCACCGGTACCACCACCGACTCGCAGCGCCCCTATGGACGATGACGATGAAGAATACGACCCGTTCAAGTACACTGGCCCACCCCTTCCGCAAGCCGCGGCGCCTCCAGCTCCTCGAGCAGTGCCGCCGCCCCCACAAAGCCAGCCTCCTCCCCCGCAGAATCGCCCACCACCACCCATGCCACCATCGATGCCTCCTGTACCACATCGCCAAGCGGGTGAATCAGATGAAGAGGATGATCTGTACTCTTCCCCGCCAGCTCGGAAGTCTCACGATAGGCCACCGCCTCCACCACCTCAGGCTCCTCCACACCAGCATGTACCTCCGCCTCTTCCACCTCTACAAGCTCCGCCTCCTCCAGCTCAAGAAAGAATGGTCCCGCCGCCACCGCAGGAACGGCCAGTTTCTATGTTCTCGCCAGTCGCAACGGAGGCACCACCTCGGATGCTGAACACTCGGAAGTCGCTTGATGCAGTCCAGATGCTGACAACTCGATCTTCCATGGATCAGCCTCGCCCGTCAACGAACCAAGGTTTCATTGCAAACGATATCGATTTGGGGATGTCGTCGCATTGGTGGACCCAGCCCAAGCTACTTCCCCCATCACTGCAAGCCCGCAAAGACGTTCTGGTAGACATGAAGGAGTCGCAATCAGGCAACACTGTGGAGAAACTCATCAAAGTTCTTTACCTTGACTACTCACAAACAATCATTTCCGCCCGCTTCGAGTCCACCAACGTCTCCGACGTGGATCTTGAACAGCGCAATGAGCCGCCGCCTCCCAGCCAGCGTCCTGATCAGCTGGAGAACGCGTACGAGCAGTTTGGTCGTTCGATAGCCAAGACTATTGAGTCGAAGCAGAACACCGTCGTAGGCAATGGTACGCCGCAGGGACTGATTGAGGAGCTGTTTAAGCCCTTCAATGACGCACTGCCCCCAATTTCAACTCGCTCCTACGGCGCGCTTGTGTACGCCAACCTAGCGAACGCGTCAACCCAAGTATATGATGAGATCCGCCCTGGTGACATCATCAGCTTCCGCAATGCAAAGTTCCAGGGTAAGACTGGGCCAATGCATGCTAAGTACGCGATGGATGTTGGGAAACCGGATCATGTCGGTGTTGTTGTCGAGTGGGATGGCAGTAAGAAGAAGGTTAGGGCTTGGGAGCAGGGACGTGAGCACAAGAAGGTCAAGCCAGAGAGCTTTAAGATGGGAGATTTGAGATCAGGTGAAGTGAGAGTGTGGCGTGTAATGAGTAAGAGTTGGGTGGGTTGGAACTGATTGGTCGAGCTGCCCGTTTGTAGGTGAAGAGCGAGGAGAATTGTAATTAAACCTTTAGTCTTGCGCGTCTGTGTATCCTAGCTGGCACCCTCCAAAACTTTCCAACATACTCACCATAACACACCCTGATACCTACATCACATCAAACACTTGCCAACATGCCCTTCACATTCGACCCCGAAGTCGACTATGCACCCGCGCCGTCGCCGCCAACGTCCGCAGCCCACATGGGGCCATCTTGGAACGCGGTGTGGCGCATCGCCATCTCCAACCCCGACAAGGCGGCCGCCCTGGCCGAGGCCAAGGGCATGATCAAGGAGAAGCTCCGGTGGGAGAGAGCGGTTGCGGCGGAGAAGAGGGAGAGGATGAAGGTGGGGGTTTCGGCCTGGAAGCTCGACCGCGAGCTGGATGAGTGGAAGTAAGTCTTAATTGATCACACATTGACGAGCTAAGCTGACATATCTTGACAGGCCGGTCTTCGGACAGTAGATCTGAGTGGGGTGGAGAGGAATTGGGGCCTTCGGGCAAAACATCTTGAGTTCCTGGTGGTGGCAGAGGTGGTGAGGTGGTGCGGCTTGGGGGGATGGCGCCGCTGTGCGCCTTATAAATATGCATGAATAGAACTCTTCTCCATCATTTAGGTGACTACAAGTAACATGCTGTGATGATGACATTGTATATGTGCTTAGTATGGTGCTGCATGTGTTGTTTTGATTGTTCTGGGCACCTCTGTAGCTGCCACTCCCCTACATCATCTCACGAACTCAACCGGCACGCGACCTCCTGGGGCAATACAGTACCCTCGCATGTTTCCCCGGTCAGTCGAATCATCACTAACTACCTCCATGGTGCTCTGTCGTCGACGTCTCGAGACTGTGATGGTCTAAGGTATCCTGCAAAGCTCTCCGCCCTTCACTAGCAAACAAAGGGTCCTAATACATTTTGCAGAACACAACCACCTTTGCAAAGTCCTCAATAACTCGAGCGAGCGACACCGAAAGCGCCGCTCATAACCCGTCGTTCACTTCCTCAACCCGCTCTTCGACACCAGTCTCCGTGAGCTGACGAATCCTACTTGGGCCTTCAACACCGCTCACACCATCGCCCTTCAGCTAAGCGAAGCCGTCACACTGTCCCCAACACATGCGCCGTATCTCCTCACACACCCTCTGCTACTCATGTTCACACGTCTCTTCTTCCTGGCCGATGAGATCGCAGATAAACTGGACACGGTTGGTATTGAAGTGGGAGACGACTGGCACGAGCGTGAGCGGGACGAGTTTTTTTGGACATACTGCGGTGATTGGGAGAAGCGGTCGATTGACTGCGTTGAGCGCACGTACATGGCGACTCGTGATGAGGTTCGCTGGTACGTAGAGAATGATGTTGACAAGGATGGGAATGCTATAATGGAAGCGTCGGTGGCTGGGAGTGATGGCGAAGTCAGCGATGGACAGGATGGCGAGAATGAGCAGACTGAGGACGACATGGATGAAGAGGTGGAGGACTGATAGATATTAGTCCAGACGAATGCATATGTTGATTGAAGATGTTAAGCCTGAACAGGAGGCAGAAGCAAGGTTGTGTTTCAATAACAACGTGGACGTCTTTCTAGACGTTGCTGCGCCTCAGCTACTGGAATAGCGCCAGCCGACAACGAGTCCGCGGGATATAGATCCGCTACTCCAGCACCCTAGACGCACAGTGGAGTCGTTTGGAGCTTTCTGTCTATTTGCTAGATTGCTCATGTCGTGACAATGAAGTTTGGCTGCGCACAAAGTCGCTGACAATTGTAGCAAACTGATCAAAGCATAAGACCTCCATGTTCAGCCGTTCGGTCTCCTCACTTGCTCTATTCAATATCCTCGCCCACATACAGTCTTCGTCAACGATCAAGCTTTTGATCCGGCATATGAGCAACAACATGGACGACAACAAGAATGGACCTGACGAGAGGACCACGAGGCCGAACATACCAGCCAACTCCAAAGCACCACCGAAGTCTAGGTTGAAAACACTCGTGTATGCGAGGGGCGCATTGAGCAACCATGATGGCGATACTGAAATGGTCGAAGCGGTGGAAATGCCAGGAAGCATCGCAGGCGAGCCGGTAGTAGAGCCTCGTAAAAAACAACGAAAGAGGAGAACGGGGATCCCAGACATGAGTGAAGATGACGAAGAACATGAGGACGGGAATGACGACGGTAAGGTGGTACCGAGTAAGAGAAGGAAAAAGGGCAAAGCTACTAAACCCGCAACTTCCGTCGATACTGACAAAGAGGAACAACAACATCCGCAGGCCCTCAAAGTTCCCCCTAAATTCGAGATAGCGTGGGCGGCGCTGGCCGAAAAAGAGGAGAAGGACCCGAAGAGGCCCGACAAGACCATCATCATCGCGCGAAGGAAGAGATGGGAGAATGCTAACGTGGAGGTATTGATATGGAACGACTGCGAGCTTGAGTGGATGAGAAAGACCCATGCAACGAAGCTGTACAAGAAGACTGTCGAGAGATTTGAGAAAGTCGAAGAGAATGATTGGATAGATGTCGACGTACCTGGCTGGTATCAGGTAAGGATTCTCGACAACGTCGTGCTGACAGACGGGCCGGAGAAATTCATCACACGATTCAGCAACGAAGACTACGACCGTGTGCACCAGATGCTCATATTCATATTGAGTGAGGTCCTTCAGCCCAGATCGTGGCTGGTAGAACCAGAGGAAGGAAGCTATCAGTATGCGACGCACGAGGACGAGGCGAAAGCCATGGCATCCATCTCCAAAAGTGCTCAAGAGCTCGTCGAGATAATCTGGAAGCCTTACATCGATGACAGCAAGCCTGATGGCAACGAGACCGATGGAAACCAGGTCGATGAGAACCAGCTCAACGAAGAGACTTATCAAAACTTGAGTGATGTAAATGTCATATGGACTTCTGCATCGAATAAGGTCGGAACGTCCAATGATGACAACGAAACAGCAACAACAACGGTACAAACATCCAAGATCAAGTTGACGAACATCTGGACTGTCTTCATCGAAGACTTCCATGTTTGGCAGAGAAAGCGTACTACTGGACCAGTCTTGTTAGTCAAGATTGTGCCGCCAACCATAGCGGAACGAAAAGAACTCGGTCGTCGTATCATCACCGACAGTCCCCATGTCGCCAGGCCAAGCTCATGGCCCTATCTGCTCGCCCTGGCCCTCCTCGCAGACGACGAAGCGGAGCAAGCGGAAGAGGAGGTGGGGCTGATCGCGCACGACGCTCGGTCTAGAAATACTATCCATACCTGCATGGAAGAGTATCAGGAGCATAAGAAGCTGAGCTATGCCGAAGCAGTACACACCTTCTGGTTGCTTCAGCAGTCCCTGCAGGACGAGCAGTTCGCCAGCGAGAGTAACGCAAAAAAGCCAGACGATGACGCTGCTCCGAGGCCTGGATCCGACCGCGAACAACATAGCGACTCTGAACACGACAACAGTACAGACACCTCTGGAGATGAAGACGACGCTCCAGCCAACGAGAAGAGCGCCCGGCCATTGGAGGGTAGGAGACACGGTAAGCTGGCGAACGAACACGACGAGCATGTTGAAGCAGAAGATGCTGAGGACCAGTCAGGTAATGCCGAGATTGAAGGAGATGGCACTGAAGCTGACCAAGATCTACCAGCCCCAACTCATTCCCCTCAGCATCAGGGTGCCTCCGAGGAGAGAGAAGCGACTGCGAAGTCAGGCCCTGATTCAGGAAAACCTGGCATGTCAGCGGTGACTGATAACGAAGAGGGGGTAGCGGATGGAACATGTTGGCTTGGAAAGCCGGGCAAGAGGGTATCCACTGCTGCGATCGGTGAGCAACCACCACCAAAGAAGTTGAAGACTAAGAAGACTGTGGCGTTGGCCGATGACGAGAACTAGGTAGACAGGGTCAGCCGTGTGAAAATGTCTATAGCTTCAGCTGCCACACTCCATAGCTGTCAATTCATCTCTTAAGTTTGATATAGCCACTTGTAACATGTAGCAAGCTTGCAACAATCCACACTGGTGATGGTGACATGATTGCTGGTATAACAGGCGTTGGTATAAGAGGGCAGGTGTGCTATGCCTGTTATCAACGTCTCGTTACTTGCTTTGATTGCGCAATCATCCTCCCAAACACAGCATGTCGAAAGATCGATCAAAGCCAACAACTGCTGCCGTGCAGAACGACGGACCGCAGCCTCGGGCTGAGACATCCACGATAGCAACCAGCGAGAGCACTGCTTACCCCACCTCCGACACGATCAAAATCCCCGACGACATGGCCGAGCTCTGGCTGAAAGCCTCAACCCCGAACACAAAAGATCCGGTCGTGGATGGAGAGATTATTGCAGTAAGGCGTTTGGCTGGCGGCGATGGTCACGTAAACTTCAACTACCTGTTGGGAACCGAGCCACCGACCTGGTATTGGCCAAAGCGTGTCAGCGTGCAGGCAAGAGAGGACTGGAGAGCGCTCCACACCGTAGGGTCAGTGAAACTCCTAAACCTTGTGATCAAGAGCCGCTTGGATATATTCGACGCGTTTCTGGTTGTGGTTGGTAATCCACAGGTGGATCCGCTTCATGCTGTTGGTCGGATGTGGCCGAAGGAACAGGTAGGGAAGGCTCGAAGCTTCACATCTCTTCGCCGAAGTGACAAGACAACGAAGCCCAAGAACGCTGAAGGTGCTGTCGGAAGTAAGACCGTCAAGACGACAAAAGGCAAAGCTACAAGCACCCGCGCGTTCCCAAAAGCGAAACCAAACTCGTCCATCGGCCCGCACAGGGAGTCTGGCACGATATCTGCGAAACAGATGCTTGAAGCTATCTTGGTCCGAGCAGCCAAGCGCCCCAGCTGGTGGTCGGCCAAGAATCTGAGAGATTACAGCTTCTATGAGGAAGAGCACTACGACAAAGCTCAAGCCGTGGGCCTAGAAACACCTTTCAAAGTGCACAATTATGTCGGATTTCCCACGGAATGGGAGATGGAGTACATCGGTATCTTACTGCGCTTTGTGGGAGAGATTGATCCATCATCTCCGGTCTCGATACCAAGGACCAATCATGAGCCCTGGCATAGGGAGTTCCTGCCATCGAAAGCACATGAGCAACGACCTCCAGTAAACCCGACAAAAACGTTCAAGGTTCTGTGGAAACAACTTGAGAGAATGAGCGTCGAAGATCTGCTCGATACTCCTCAGGAAGACCGGGAAGATATCGTTTCACTGATAGTGTACGAGGCACCACATACACTGCACGACAGGAGTTGGGTCTTGCTTCTTGTGCTCACTCTTGTGACAAAAGAACACATCGAACGCTGCCTCGAATCATCTAGTATTACAGTGGGACGCGAATGGTATGACCGCTCTTGCCGGAAGCTCCTCTTTCAGCTTGAGGAATCTTGGGTAAAGGACATACCGCACCTGGAAAGTCTCGATGTGCACGCGATGTGGCAAGCTTTGAAGCAGGACATCCAAGAAGACGACGTGGATCCCGATGATTTGTACGAGGAAGACAACTCTGGCGCAGAGATGGAGCAGATTTAACAGGACCGATTGTAATCGTAGAGACTCTCGGGCTTAGAGCAGGAAGCGAGAATGTACTCCTTAACCAAGATAAGGTGGACGACATAGATCATGCAGCGCTGATGCGTCTTTGTCCCGACGACATGGCTGCTTCTCCTCTTGTCCGCGTTGTTCTAGGCTGTCGGCCAGCGTGCTCCCCTAGCATTGTCTTTGCCCCTGATAGTCCTCTATGTTCTGCCAGCCTTTGTGGAGCTAGAGTGGTATGCGGAAGAACGGAGGACGACCAAGATAATGAGTGTTCTTGGGGCGAGGAAGGCGTGTTCGGAATGTCGCAACAGTACGGTGATATCGCGGTAAGCGTGTGTGTCGTAGTATCATCCTGGGTGAACACTGTCATGAGTGCGTCGCGCCCGTCGCGTGGTAGTAGGAGAAGACCTGGAAAAATTTGAGTAGAAGAAGGTCAATGTGCAGAGAGTAAACGGGTGCTGGATGTGAGCATCTAGTATCAAACGCGAAACGTCGTCTTCAAATTTTGGCGCGAACGCCATACTGCCAGAGCTCCTGATGTACGAGGCGTCGTTGTGACCTACGGGCTCGCGTCGGATTGATGCCGAGAGCGCGAGCGCGATATACGCTATGTGCGAGAAAACAAAGAAATAAGGGCGTGGCAACAAGTCGCGTTGTACAGAAGGGCTGACTGAGATGAGGTCGGATGAGAGTTGGTGGGTCGCCCGGAAAAGTAGCCGCATCCATGGCTCGCGCTTGTCGGCTTCAGGGAAAGTGCCCCCATCATCCCCAACAAATCGATGACGCAGCATCTCCCCTTTCTCCTCGCCATCCTTCCTTCGCGTTCAGACGCGTTCAGACAATCCAGCTGCGGAGCCTTACCATGGCGCGACATGACCAGACCGTCAGTAAAACGCCAAGTCGCCCTTCGCGTAGATGGCCCGGCGCTGAAGGTGGGTCAAGGGGCG